AAATCACCCTGATAAACACAAATCCAGATTGCATCAATTAAAGAGCCACAGGACACCCAAGGAACCACAGTACACCCAAGAATTAGCAAATCCACAAAGTGGTGAAAAATATAAGCAGTCACACAACAATTGGCTTGTGTTGCCATTTGAATGATGTTTTCGTATGTTTTTCGGAGGGAATTGTTAATTGCAACCAGCTTTTGTGACAGGAGGAATGTTGTGCATTAAATTCTTAGTATTGCATTGCTAGCCTACGAGCAAGCTCTCTGGGGCGCTCTGGCAACGGGGCGGGAAAAGGAAGTAGAGCTTGCAACTGCGTCCCTGGAATTTGAATTCCACCTCCAATTCCCCTGTGGCTCCCCGTCGACTGAACTGTCAGATTTCCGCCAATCAGCGCGAAGTGGAAACGAGCGCGAATGTAAACAAACATTGAAAAACGTGCCAAGGCAGATGGGCTCCTGGCCAAGGGTAAGACGTCATTACTAATGTCATCTACGCCAATCAGCATTTCGCATCGACTTTAATTTTTCGATGCAGATATTCAAATTCCAGAGACGTAGTTGCAAGTTGTCCTTCCTTTTCCCGGCCACCCCCCCCCCTTCCCCGCTGCCAGGCTAAGTATTGCAGTCTTTTAAGCTTTTGATTTTACAGTAATCTTTGCTCAGTTATCTCTGGAGAGTGGGCTGTTACCCTTAATTTTCTTGAAGAAGAAAAAGAAAAAAACGCATGATTTTTTAAAAGGATCAAGAGTTTTCTTTTTTCTTGTTCTTTTTCTTCACATTCCTGTCTCAGTTCTTCAAATTCTCGTCCGTGCTTCCTTACTACTAAGCTAGAGCTACCATCACATCACATCCAGGTGTTGTCTAGCTGTAACGTGTATGCTTCCTTACATAGAGAGGCCTCTGTCATCATGATGTCTCGATGACACTTAAGGATTGCACGAGGAAAACACTCTTCGCCATTTCTCGAGAGGAATGTTGCTTATTTAATATCACTGATTCAAGAGATTTATCAACTCAATTGATGAAAGAAATATTTAATAATGATTCTGAATCATCTAAGTTGAATGTGGATTTATTCCATGTAGTGAACCAAGTTTATTTCGCACAAGACGAACAAGTTCAAAGGAATAGTCTGTGTTCCTCTCGAACGAAAGTTTTTTAGTTGAGGAAGAAAAGGTTCGTACGGGAGAATCACTTAATAAACAATGAGGAGGTGGTAAACGGGACAGATTCCTTAATAACTTGAGAACGAAGAGGTGAACCTGAAGGTGTTTCGATACAGTTTTTCAGAGGCCATACCGATATTTTTCAATCGCCTTGAAAGTGGTTTTTTCCTTGTCCGATCGCTATGAAATTTTTACCAGTAATTGGGTATGGATTGAAATTTGTGAAAATGTAGTTTTAAGTAAAATCGATATTACTATGACAACAATA